GGGTCAAGGGGACCTTGATCAGGAAGTTGACCATCGCCCCTGCCACCATCAGGAATGCGAACGAAAGGAGGAACCCGGCCGCAGTACGCTCGCTTACGGTATTGCCAAAGATGGTCAGATAGGGACCCACTGCAACGGCGACGGTGCCAGCTATCCCCGTGCCGGCAACCAGTAACCCGAAAGCCATGCCAACCCTGATGAACCCGTACGCCACCCCCCAGACGGCACCGGAACCCAGGGCGATCAGGAACGTTATGTCCACCCAATTCACCGCGCCAGTCTATCACGGCTCCATCGAAACCGGCCCTCCGGTTGAGGGAATTCGTAAGGCTCTATCAGGGCCCTCGCCTCGTCCGGTCCAAGTTCCTCACGGTATCGAGCGCAGTCAGGCAGACGGCCCCAACGACAAAACCGGCAATGACATCACTTGGCCAGTGAACCCCCAGGTAGACGCGGGAAAAGCCCACGGCCAGTATCAACGCCAGCAGGACCACTCGCACCGCCCACCGCAGACCGCGGCGAGTGCTGAGATACCTCGACCGGCACGCAACCAGGATCAGTGCCCCGTAGAACGCTGCGGCAAAGACGGCGTGGCCGCTGGGATAGGCGTACCCCGACTCCGTAATCAATGCCAGCGACGGGTCAGGCCTCGGCCGCGCCACCAGTTCCTTCAGCCCCAGGTTGATAAGCGGGGCCAGCGTGGCGACAGCCATGAATACGGCGTCCGCTCGCCGTCTCAGTACCAGCGCGCCCGCAACAACCGCCACCGGGATCCACGGGACCGGAATCGCCCAGAACACGCCGGCCATCCCGATGGACGACGCCACCACCGCTCCGCCGGTGAGCCATCCGGCCCGCAGTTCCCGCAACTCCAGCAGGACCCATTCGTCCCCGGGGAACGTGGCAAACACCCGGCCCAGCACAAGAAGCACGGCCACCGCCGCCAGGCCCAGAAACACCGGGAGGACCCCAGTTGCCGGGAGTCGAGATGATAGCCCTGAGGAACGCTTGACCACCCGTTAAGCATAACCGCAGCACCACCAATACGGGTGGCACAGGTTCCCCCGATGGTATAATTTGCCAGCTATGCCTCGCACAATCGCCATAGATGGACCGGCCGCCTCCGGCAAGACCGTCGTGGGGACGCCAAGTAGCGCAGGCGCTGGGCTGTTGGTTCCTCGACACCGGCATCATGTACCGCGCCGTAACCTGGCTGGCCCTAGAGCAGGGCGTCTCACCCGATGACTCCGCTGGCCTCAGCCACCTGACGAAGGCCGTCAAGGTGCTGCCGGTATCCATGAACGGGAACTCGGTTGAGGTATCGGGCCGGCGCGTCGGGCCGGAGTTGCGCGAGCCTCGCATAGACGGCAATGTCTCCAACGTCTCAAGGCACCCCGTCGTACGCCGGGCCATGGTCGAACAGCAGTGGGCCTACGCCGAGTCAGTCCTGGAACGCGGCGGCATAGTGATGATCGGCCGAGACATAGGGACGGTGGTACTGCCCACGGCCGAGCTGAAGGTCTATCTAACCGCATCGGCGAAGGAGCGGGCCCGCCGCCGATGCCGCGATATCTTGGAAAAAGGACAGCCAGCCAACTTGGCCTCTGTTCAAAGCGATATCGAAGCCCGCGACGCCATCGACTCCTCCCGCGACGACTCACCGTTGCGCCCCGCAAAGGACGCCTGGCAGTTCGACACCACTGGCCTCACCATCGACCAGGCCGTCAACGCCGTCCTGCGGAGAGCGGAAGAGCAGTGATGGCCCGGGAAAACGCCACCCTGCTCTACCGGTTGGGCCGCCCCTTGGCGCGCTTCTGCTTCGGTACCTTCGGCCGTATGAAGGTAGTCGGGCTGGAGAACGTGCCGCCCCGCGGTCCGGTCATCTTGGTTTGCAATCACCTCGCATTCACTGACCCGCCGCTCTTGGTTGCATCCATCCCCCGCCCTCTGCACTTCCTGGGCAAGCAGGAACTGTTCAGCAACCCGGTGGGCAAGTTCTTGATGCGCGGATTCCACGTACTCCCTTACAACCGCACCACCGCCAGCACCGACACCATGCGGACGCTTCTGGGCCTGCTTGACCGGGACCGTGCGGTGGTTGTATTCCCGGAGGGGACCCGCAGCAGCAGCCACTCGCTGCAGGAAGCGCAGCTTGGCGTAGTCTACTTGGCCCTCAAGTCGCAGGCACCCATCCTGCCGGTGGGAGTGACCGGCACGCAGAAAGTCAGGGGCTGGCGTATGCCAATGCCGCTGTGCACACTGACCGCAAGCATTGGCCCCCCTTTCACTCTGCCGCACATCGAAGGCCGCGCACCCCGTCCGGTCATGCAGAGCATGTTGCGAATGATCATGGAGCGGGTGGCAACGCAACTGCCCCCGGAGTTTCGCGGCGTCTACGACCCTGTCGGCAGTCACTCAGTGGCAAATCAGGAAGTTCGGAGCAACTAAATGCAGCAGGCATCCAAGTTTGGCATCTATCTGAACGACGGGGAGAAGAAAGTGGTCCGCATCAATTCTCCCTACTGGTTCCCGGAGGAACCCGACTGGGTGTTGGTGACGCCAGAGGTCAACGCCACGTTACTCAGCATCCGCGACCTCGTCCGCGAGCAGGGCCTGAGCGCCGACGCCGACGCTCTGACCTGGGGCACTATCCCGATGCGGGAGGAATAGAAAACCCCGAGGCTGGCGCCTCGGGGAATACACTGTACAACTGGGAAACTATCGGCACTAGGCTAGGGGTATGCCTCGACCAGTCTCTTACGGAACAACCGAATGGCCGCCCGAAAGATGCTACCAGCAAGCTATCCCTTAAAGGCGGGCATCACTTCCTCGGCGAAGATGCTGAGCTGATCTTTGTAGACCTCCAGGGGCATGCCCATGACGGAACCGAAATTGACGCGCTCCACGCCAGGGTAACGCTCCTCTGCTTTCTTGAGGGCCTCAACCACCGAGTCCGGGGATCCGCAGATCCAGCCGCCCCCTTCGACCGCTTCCTCGAGGGTCGGGAGCTTGACGCCACGGCTGCGCCCGCCGGCGGCCACCGAGTCAATCTGTTCTTGGCTAAGAGCCATCAGGCCTAGTGGGGCGGCGAACTTCATCGCCTCCTCGAAATAGGGCTTGGCCTTCTCGATGGCCTTTTCTTTGCTCTCCGCCATGAAGAGGCGGAAGCCCAGCGCGGCGTTTTCTCCCAGTTGTGTCTCGCGCCCAACGTCCAGCTGCGCCTGCTGGTACATGCGCATGCGTTCGCCCAGAGTCGGCTCGGGCGTATTGGCCAGCAGGGGCTTGATACCCATCCTGGCCATGAACTCGACACCGCGCGGGTTGCCGCTGACCAGGGGCTGCCAGATATCCACCGGCCGGTTGAGGGGGCGCGGCACCAGGGTCAGCTTCTCAAGCTCGTAACCCCGGTAGGGCACACGAGCCGGTATCTTGAAATGCTTGCCCTGGTGAGAGAATGAGTCCTCGTTGAAGGCCTTGACCATCACCTCAATCTGTTCTTCGAACAGTTCGCGGTTGGCGTCGGAGTCGCGCATGGGCGCACCAAAGGTCTCGACCTCGCGGGTGTGGTAGCCGCGTCCCACGCCGAAGATGATCCGGCCCTTGGTCAGGATATCGGCCATGGCGAAGTCCTCGGCCAGACGCAGCGGGTGCCACATGGGGGTGATGTTGAAGCCGCAGCCGTACTTCAGGTGTTCGGTCTGGGTCGCCAGGTACAGGCCCAGCATCAACAGGTTCGGGATGCCCTCGTATCCTTCCGGCTGGAAGTGGTGCTCGGCCATCCAGAACTCGTCATAGCCGTTGGCTTCGAGGTGCTGGGCAATGTCCAGGGCCCAGTCGTAGGTCTCGGCCAGCTTCTCATTGGAATACCAACGGTCATTGGCCGGCGTCCCTTCGAACCCCAGGTTGTCGTCAACAACGTGCCCGGCATAGGAGGCGGAGAAATTCTTAAACATATTCGCTCTCTGTTCGTACGATTAGGGGCTGCTAAAGGGCAGATTGCTTGCGGCTATCCGCAGGAACGTCGAATATCCCATCGAACGCGGTCTGGTTGTACGCCCCGCCCTACTCCCGCACCTGGCTGGGCGCCGGGTTGTAGAGCTCCAGGCCGATGGTTGCGGGAAACACCCGGGCGATCTCCTCGACGGTCCACTTGCCATCCTTTTGGATGGTCTTCACTGGCTCGGGCTGGTTTAGCAGGTTGACCAGACCCTCGGTTACGTGGAAGACTTGCCCGTTAACGTGTTGAGCCTCGTCAGAGGCCAGCCACGCGACCATCGGCGCAACATCATCAGCCTCGCCCCTCAGGGTCACGCTGGCCCCGGTGCTGATGCCTCGGGCTGCGCGGAGCTCCCGGGCCTCGTCGGGAATGCTGGTGGTCATCCTCGTCGCGGCGCTGGGTGAAATGGCGTTGCAGGTAACGCCGTATCGCCCCCATGTCCCTGGCCACGACCCGGGTGAAGCCCGCTATGCCATCCTTGGCTGCGCCGTAGTTCGCCTGCCCTGAGTTTCCGTACAGTCCGGACGTCGAGCTGAACGTGATGATCCGCCCCGACCTCTGCTGTCTGAACACAACGGAGGCGTTCTTGACCACCGAGAACGTGCCCTTGAGATGGACCGCAATTACATCGTCCCACTCTTGCTCAGACATGTTAAAGACCATGCGGTCCCGCAGGATGCCCGCCACGGTGACCACGATATCCAGCTTGCCGTAGTTATCGAGTGCGGTCTGTACGATTGTCTCGCCGCCCGCCATGCTGGCGACGTTCTCGGTACAGGCCACTGCCTCACCGCCGGCCTCGCGGATCTCGGAAACCACCATCTCAGCCACCGACATGTCAGTCCCGGAACCGTCAACGTTGACGCCCAGGTCGCAGACGACGACTTTGGCACCCTCCTCGGCCATCAAGCGGGCTGCGCCGCGTCCGATGCCGCGTCCGGCCCCCGTTACGATAGCCACCTTGTCTTTCAGCAGGTCTGCCATTCCATTGCCCCTTTTTGTTCAGCGGGAAGCCCGCCTTGATAAATTGCGCGGCCTACCCCAAATGCCTTCTGCAGTGAAGGGGAAGTTGAGGTCCGCTGTCGAGTCATCCTGTATCTCCGATGTTAGGCGACTCGCTCCCAGAGCAGTACAACGGTCAGATCAGCCCTCGAACCCTTTGATGGGTAGGGTCCGGAGTTCTAGCCGCCCGTCTTCGACAAACTCGAATTCCCTTACTTGCTGTTCGCCTATCCAGTTCGGAAAGAAGCTGCCCTCTACCTGGTGGACCATCAACCCTCGGACCTCATCCACTGAATAGCTCCCGTAGTAGGCCACGTAACCCTCGAAGGCTGCCCGTACCTCATCGTCGCTGCCCTTCAGCAGGTTACCAGAAGCAAAGACAGGCCTCCCACGGGCCATGATCTGTCCCGAAAAGCTGCCCCGACCGTCATACACCAGAATCCCACCGGGAGCCTCGCCGTATGGACGGGATATGCGACCATCCGACCAACGGCCCTCGCAGGCCAGCAACCGCCAGGTCCCGGTAAAAGGGTCCGCAACGCTAGCCATCAGCCTGCATCACTATGGGCCGGCGATCCCCGCTCTACTCGCGGGGCAGCGTGGGCGGAGCAGGGTTGGAGACCTCGGCGGTCAGCACGTCTCGGGCCAATGGCACTAGCGTCTGGAGGTCCCAGTGGCCCGACGGCTCGTAAATGGATCGCTCAGGTCGCGGCTGAGACATCAGCGACACCGTATCTCCATAAACGAGGAAAGTCTGCCCGTTCACGTTGGCTGCATAGTCGCTTGCCAAGTAGCAGATGAAAGGAGCGATGTGGGAGGGGTCCAACTCCGTAAGCAAGTCCTCACCCGGGATCGCAGCCACTCCGCTGCGCGCCCTGATCTCGGCAGCGCTGTCAGGGATGTCCCCGATCATTATCGTGTTGGCCCTCGGTGCGATCGCGTTGGCCGTCACCCCATATCGGCCCATGTCCTTGGCCACAACCTTGGTGAACCCGGCTATGCCCGACTTGGCCGCTCCATAGTTGGCCTGCCCGGAGTTTCCGACAAGGCCCGACTCAGAGGAGAAGGTGATCACCCGTCCGGAGCGCTGCTGACGGAACAAGATGCAGGCGTGCTTGACCACCGTGAAGGTCCCCTTGAGGTGGACGGCTATGACATCGTCCCATTCCTGCTCGGTCATGTTGAAAATCATGCGGTCGCGCAGGATACCTGCGCAGGTGACCACGATATCCAGCTTGCCGAAGTTGTCCACGGCGGTCTGAATGATCCGTTCGCCGCCCTCCATAGTCGTAACCGACTCCATGCAGGGAACGGCCTCGCCACCCGCGGCCCTGATTTCCTCGCAGACCTGGGCGGCCACCGAATTGTCCTGGCCGGAACCGTCTACGTTTACACCGGGATCCACCACGACGACTTTGGCCCCCTCCGACGCCATCTCCATCGCGATACCCCGGCCTATTCCCCGGCCTGAGCCGGTTACAATGGCCACCTTGTCCAGCAGTGAATCAACCAACGTAATACCCCTGGGAACTGAGAATATTCCGAACGGCCTCGGTTGCCCGGCTCTCTGGGCCGGGCTCCCTAGGCCAGATTCTTTGGTATAGAAACCGTGGCGCGACCTGGTGTTGTGCGCTGGCCTTCTGCATTCTCCAGCCAGATTTCGCAATCGACCAAGTACTCCCCGTCGTTTTCGTACTTGCTCGTAACCACGCCCCTTGCGGTGATCGGGTGTCCCGGGATGTCCATTCCCCGATACTGGCACGATAGTTTGCGCAGGTTCCCATGCGGGCCCATCCAGTCGGTCACCAAGGAGCCCAGGAACGCATTGTCAGCGCCCGCTAGCACTGATATGAGTCCTCCAGCACCCGTCCTTGAGCAGAACGTCCTTCGTCGTAGTGGATCTGATAGTAATCAATCCCAGAGCGCGCCGCGTCGATTCACCAACTGTTGGCTCGTGGGATGCCGAACTGCGGGACCGATTTCCAGTCCCTCGTTAACCTCATCCCAAACTATCTGCGTTGACATACCTGAGACCTCCGGGCGAGTTCTAGTTGCCGAATCAGGCCGAACAGGGAGCCCTCTCCTCTGCTATTCCTCAAGGAGGTCGCTCTCTCAGTACCTTATCGATGTGCTGGTCTGAGTCGCGACCACCTGTCCGAACTGGTTGGTATAGGTGACCACAATGGTGTAGACTCAGCATCAGGCCGATCCGGCCATTTCGCTCGTTCAGGTCCTCGATTCGGGAAACCGCCGTGATGCGGTCCCCTGGGCGTACCGGCACGAAGTACTCCCACTCGCTCCCCCCGTCCAGCAGACGCTCAAAGGGCACGTCAAAGGGTAATTCCGGTCGGGCCGAGACCGCCGAGCGCAGGAAGGTCGGCGGCGCTATCAGGCCGCCGTAACGGGATTCACGGGCGGCGACCTCATCGGTGTAGACAGGGTTATCGTCCCCGATGGCCTCGGCAAACTTGACGATTGCGCCCTTTTCTACCTCGATTGTCCTGGGTTCGCTCTCACACCCAATGGCTTGCTGGCGCATTTCCTCTGACAAAAAGGCAGGCGCGGTGGACACGAATAACCCCCTGGTCGCAATACCGAATATCGAGATTTCTGAGGCCCGTTCCGGCCTGTTTACATTTCGGTAACAACCCGCGAGTCTATCGGTGGTCAGTATGGGTGTCAAGGTTGAAAGTGCACCGCGGCAATGCGGTGATGGAATCGAATACGAGCGAAACGTGGGCGAACCGCTAGCAATATTCGGCAAAACTATGTGCGCGTTCCGCTGGAGGTTGCCTCGGATATCGACGATTCGGGACAGTCGGCAAATTGCGTTTGCTGTTGTCCTATGCCCCCAGTCCACGCTGCATTCCGCGTAAGTACCCCGCCTGCCCGCCGTGCTGGTTAACCTCCCATATCAGCATGCGGAACATCGTCGCCAGGGTTATCTCGTTGCCTTGCCGGTTCGTCATCGTAGTGGTGGAGAGCGAGTTATCATCGTGCTCGCCAAGGAATCCCAGCAGATTGTCCCGGGCTGCCGCCGCATACTCCACCAGCAGGGCCTTGGCGGGGCACCCCCAATTGGCCAGGTCCTCCACGCCGTAGCCGAAACCAACGTTCATTGCCTCCGGCTCAAATCCCAGTCGACTGGCCCATCCTCGCTCATAAAGCTGAGGCTGCTTTCGGGCGAGCGTCTGCGTCCACATGTCCAGAGCCCGCCCATAGTGCCAGATTATGAACCCGATGGAATGGCAATGGTCGTTGGGCCGGAATTCGATTTCCTCCTGCGTCAGACCGTCGATATACCGCTCCAGCCATTCCCAGTTGACCTCGAAGGACTCCCGGATAAATTCTTGCAATGCCATCATCGATACCCCCGGTTGTAAAGTCGGACCATTCCGCAGTCTTCTCTGACATTCTACCGGTCAGGCAGTACTAAGGGCACACTCCATACCGATAATCCAGCCATCCCCAGACGCCTATCGACATCGCTTGGCATATCCTCAGGGCCATCGTCCGCTTTCTGGCTTATGCTAAAATCGACACGGAAAATATTCCGCTCGGAGGAGCATTTTGCAGTTCGGCTTTTACCTCCCCAACAGTGGCGATGGCGCCCAACCCGACGCTCTTGCCAGCATCGCTCAGCTGGGCGATCGACTAGGCTTTTACTGCATGGTCGCGCCCGACCACATACTGATGCCCCGCCAGGTCAGCTCGGTCTATCCTTACAGCGTTACCGGCAGCATCCTGGCAGGTGGCAACTCGGGAGCCGGCGAATGGCCGGAGCAGATCACTACCCTCGCTTATCTCGCCGGAGTAACCGAGAACATCCGCCTGGTTACCAGCGTGATGATCGTTCCCTACCGCAACCCGTTGTTGTGCGCCAAGATGCTGGCCACCCTCGACATGCTTTCCAAGGGCCGCCTGATAGTGGGCGCGGGCGTTGGCTGGATGGAAGAGGAGTTCGAGCTGCTGGACGCACCCCCTTTTGCAGAACGCGGACTTGCCACCGACGAATACCTGCAGGCATTCATCGAGCTCTGGACCGCAGACAACCCCAGTTTCAACGGCAAACACGTCCAGTTTTCCGACATCATCTTCCTTCCAAAACCGGTGCAGACTCCCCACCCACCCATCTGGATCGGTGGGCAGAGCCGGGCCGCCCTGCGACGCACAGCCCGTCTCGGCAACGCCTGGCATCCCGTCGGGGCCATCCCCGCTGCGCCACTGGAGCCGGAGGAACTGGCGGAGAATCTGGTTTACATGCACCGCCATGCTGAGCGGGCGGGTCGCGACCCGTCGGAAATCCAGGTCTCGATGAAGGCACCGCTTTACGACGCTTCTAGTGATGAGGCCGGGAACCGCCGCCGATTCTCCGGATCGCCTGATGCCGTCCTGCAGGACATCCACGCCTACGCCGAGGTGGGCGTCACCCACCTGATATTCGACTTTCGCAGCCCGCACCACTCGGAGACTGAGGACCGAATGTCCCGCTTCTCCGAAGAGGTGATGGCTGCGGCATAATCGCCCCCCTCCCCGAACCGGGTAGGGGTAGATGTACAGAGCAGGAGGAGTAGGGAAGGTGGAAACATTGGACGACCGCTACAATCGAGGCCAGGAAATGCGCAGGCGCATGGCCGGGGGGCAACCAGAGCCATTACAGCCTGCCCGGCATTGACCAGCTCGCCCCTGACCTGAAGCGCATCGTTGACGAAGCCCTCTGGGGTTCGGTATGGACCAGGCCGGGGCTGGACACTGAGCGCCGCTGCATGTGCACCGTGGCAGCCCTGACCGCCCTGGGCCAGATTCCGCTGTTGCGGCGCAACATCGAGCGCGCCCTGAACCTGGGGGTCACCCCAGACCAGGTGGTGGAAGTGGTAATGCAGATGACCTTCCTGGTCGGCATTCCATCGGTGGAATCCGCCATGAAGCTGACCAAGGACATCTTCGAGGAGCAGGGCATCGAATACACCCCCACCTATGCTTACGACACCAATCGCACGGTGGAGGAACTGCACCAAAACGGGCTTCGCATCTACGATGAGCAGATGGGCGAACCGCCCCTCTACCCCGTCGACGACCCCAATTCACTGGAAATGGAAGCCCAGAAATTCATTGAAGAATATCACTGGGGGGCAATCCACGCCCGACCGGGCCTCGACCCCAAGAGCCGGGCGCTGTGCAGCCTTTCCGCCATGACGGTGCTGGGCCAGTACGACCGCCAGATCAGGCGGCTGATCGAAGGGGCGCTGTACGTGGGTTCGACACCCCAGGAAATAATGGAAGTCTTCTTCCAACTGATCTTCTACGGCAGCTATACCAATTCCCGCACGGCGATGCGAGTGGCCCGCTCGGTGTTCACAGAGAAGGGCATGGCGTCCGCCGAACACAACTGACCGCAGAAAATCCCCGCCCTGACCCTCCCCTTGGAGGGGGAAGGAATTGACGGCCGGAGGCAGCATGAAACTCCGCCTGGACGACGGAACCGAACTGTTCTACACGGTGGACGACTTCACCGACCCGTGGACGGAGCCCGAGACAGTGCTCATGCACCACGGCATGGCCAAGAATCACCGCATGTGGTTCGGCTGGGTGCCCACCATCGCCCGCCACTACCGGGTCATTCGGTTCGACATGCGCGGAATGGGCCGGTCCGACGTGCCTGAGCAAGGCTACCCGTGGTCGCTGGACAATTTTACCAACGACCTGGAGGAAGTGGTCAGCAAGTTGGGCTTAGAGAAGTTTCACCTGGTCGGCGAAACGGTGGGCGGCTCCATTTCCATGAACTACTCCACCCGGCACCAGGACCAGTTGCTCTCCCTCACCGTATGCACCTCACCCACCAGCTTTGACTCCCACCACCAGGAGAGCGCCAGCCTCATCGAGCACGAGGGCATCGAAGCTTGGGTGGACGACTCCATCGGACGCCGCCTCGATCCCGACCTCGTGCCTCAGGAATATATCCGCTGGTATGCCGACCAGATGAAGGCCACCCCTGCCCACGTCGTGCAGGGCTTCCAGGCCAACGCCGGGGGAGACCTCGGCCCCGCCCTCCGGAACGTCCAGACCCCCGTGCTGGTGCTGGCGGCCGCCAGCCTGCGGGAAGAAGTCCTGGGCGATTTCCGCGGCGCTGCCGACCTGTTCCCAAACGGCGAACGAGTTGTGTTCCCTGGGATCACCGGCTTCGTGCAGCACATCCTGCCGACGGCCTGCGCCCGAGTCTGGCTGGACTGGGTTCGGTCCCTGTAACCTGTGGCCTTCTGGGTCCGCAGGAGGCGCCGGTCCCGCCGCCGCAGGATTGCTGCGATATTGATGGCGGAATTTGGCTGCGCCAGCGACGCCGCGAACTCGACTATAACCTGATCTTTCTCAGGCTCATCTCGGGAAGAGACCCGGAAACGGGCGACCGTTGGACCTGGCTGGACCCCGGGTTCGCCGGGGCCCCCCTCAGGTTTGCCGTCCAGGCAGTGGTGGCCACCATCGTGATGTTGGCCATCCTGGCCTTCGTCAACTCCCTGTCCTCCGCCGCCATTGCGGCGGGTCTCGCCTCCAGTGTCGTTGGCATGTTCCTCAGCCCCTCCAACCGGACGGCGAGGATCCGTTCGGTCGTCGGAGGCCACGGCGTGGCCCTCGCGCTGGGCTCCGTGTTCTCCGCCATCCTGTTCCTGGCCCCGGTCGATGCATTTCTGGGCGACCGGACGATTCTGCTGAACTTCTCCTTGGCTCTCGCGGTCGGCCTCTCCATGCTGCTGATGGCCATCACCAACACCGAGCATCCACCCGCCGCAGGAACCGCTATCGGAATGGCCACCCGCGAGTTTGATATCCTGATTTTCCTGAGCATAATCGGGGCAGTGGTCATGCTCGCAGTGATCAAGCTGGCCCTCCGTCCCCCAGATCCGCGACCTGACGTGAGAGCCATACCAAAGGGCCGGACAAGCCCACCTTTCACAACCAATCAGATCGGGACATAACCCCATCATATTAGCCGTCACCTCGCACCCTGCGTCAGATTCACCAGCCAATCAGCAAATAGACAAGACCTCGCACCAAGGAGCCTCAACATGCCCGAAGCCCTCGCCCGCACCTACGCCCGGTTCGTAGCCGGACTCGACTACACCCACTTGCCCGCGGCCGCGGTCGACAAGCTCAAGGCCTCGCTGCTCCACGCCACCTTCGTCTCCCTCGTCGGCGCCCAGACGGCCCATGGCAAGGCCGCCATCGAGCTGATCAAGGAGGAGGAGGCCAGCCCCAACGGCGCCACCGTCCTTGCCGACGGCGCTCGCGCCACCCGCGGTGGTGCGGCTTTTGCCAACAGCAAGCTCATGCACGCGACCAACCAGACCGACTCCTACCGTATGCTGATCCACCCCGGCCCCTGCATCATCCCGGCCGCCTTGGCCACCGCAGAGATTTCCGGCGCCACCGGCCAACAGCTCCTCACGGCAATGGCAGCCGGTTACGAGGTCGAGGCCCGCATTGCCGGCGATTTCATCCCCACCACACAGGCTCGCGGGTTCCGGTGCAGCCCCGTCTACGGCACCCTGGGTGCGGCGATCACCACCGCCAAACTGCTCGGCCTCGATGAGGATCAGACGGTCACCGCCCTGGCCCTAGCCTGCACCTTCACAGGCGGCACCACCGAGGGCCCCCGCGTCAGTGGCCGCGAGATGCTTTACCACGAGCCGAACGCCACCCGCAGTGGCATCATGGCCGCCTTGCTCGCCCGCGAGAATCTGCGCGGCTCGGAGACCTGCCTCGAGGGAGACGCCGGATTCTACAACGGATTCGTCGGCAACAACCGGGGCGAGCTTTCCTACACCTTCTCATCCAATCCTCCCGGTGACGGCGGCCCGGGCACCACCGATCTGGCCCAGACCGTCCAGGGCTTCGGCGAACGCTGGGAGCTGCTCCACGTCACGCCCAAGATTTACCCCACCGCCGGCTACAACTGCCCGGTCATCGAGCTTACCACTCGGGCTAGGGCGTCTAACGACATCGCGCCGGAGGATGTGGAGAGCATCACCGTGGAGATGAACTGGCTGGAAACCACCTACCCCTCACCCGCTTTCCCGAACACCGACCGCCGGATGCCCGGTGTTGGCAGCACTCACTACTTCACTGCCTACACCTGGGTTCACGGCAGCTACCCGCCGCTACGTCAGCGCCTCGACCCCGGTATCGACTCCGCAGACTTCGACCGGCAAGTCATGGCCCTGCAGGAGCGCGTCGAGATCGTCGGTCAACGTACCCGTGGGTCATTCGCCCCACGCATCACCGTCCGCACCCGTTCCGGCGACGAGGTCTCCGACGAGTTCAACGGGGACGAGTTGAAGTGGGATTTCGCCACTGAGACAGCCCGCATCAGTGAGCTGTTCCCGCAGATGGACTGGCCAAATGCGAAGCTCAACGGCCTGGTGGACGCGGTCTCCCGCATCGACTCCGCCTCTGACGTGGGCAGCTTGATCGCCTGCTGTGTTCCGAGCTAGAGCAGCGGCGGTGGGCCAGTTGTTTGCGATAGGATCCTTTTCCAATCGATCAAACTCTTAGGAGCGCCAAATGGACCTCGGACTAGAAGGAAAGATCGCTATAGTCACGGGTGGCAGCAAGGGTATCGGCCGGGCTACTGCGCTGGCACTGGCGCGGGAAGGAGTGGACGTCGCCATCTGTGCCCGAGGCGTGGAGGAACTGGAAGGTGCTGCCGCTGACATCCGCGCCCAAACCGGCCGCCGCGCCTTGGCCGTTCGCGCGGACACCGGTAAACCCGACGACATAAAGAACCTGGTCGCCACGACTATCGCCGAGTTGGGCGGTGTGGACATTCTGATTAACAACGCGGTCAACTCCACTGCCGCTCCGTTCATGGAGCTGGCGGATGAAGACTGGCTGAACCATATCAACGTCAAGGTGATGGGATACGTGCGCTGCGCCCGGGAATGCATTCCCCATATGCGTCAGCGCGGTGGAGGGAGGATCATCAACATCGGAGGCATGGCAGCTCGGCAATCCAACCCGCTCACCAACAGCAACGGCGTCACGAACGCATCGGTCTCCAACTTGGCCAAGAACCTGGCCGACCAGGTTGCCGCTGATGGCATACTGGTCAACTGCATCCACCCTGGGACCACGCGCACGCCGCGTCAGACCATGATCCTGGACAGGCAGGCTAGAGACGCCAGCATCACCATCGAAGAAGCCGAGGCCAGGGCCGTGGCCGGCATCCCCATTGGACGCATGGTTGAGCCGGAGGACATCGCCGACCTCGTGCTGTTCCTCGTATCCAACCGGGCCGGGGCCATAACCGGCCAGACCATCGGCGTGGAAGGCGGCGCCGTTCGTGCAATCAACTACTGACACGTATCACTTGATGTGTACCACCTGGCGAGAAGGAACAAGAGGACGCTGGCGACTCGCAGTTCCCGTCGCTTTGCTCCTGATCGTTCTTGCGATCGCCTGTAGCAGCTCGGACGCATTGGTTCCGCCAACGGAAGAGTTTGGGGGGCCGAGGTTCGCGGCGGTGGTGGTTACCAGCGACCTTGCCGTGGGCAGGGACAGGCTTGCATTCGGCGTGGTTTCTCGCGACGGCCCTCCCCTGCAGGCAGAGAGCGCCACGGTTCGAACTTACTACCTTCCGCCCAACTCTGAGGCCAGGGAACCACGGGAAGCACTGACGGCCACATTCGAACCATGGCCCTTTTCGGCCGGGGTGTTCTCCGTACGAGCAGAGTTCGATGTTGCTGGGTCCTGGGAACTGGAGACGGAGTTCACGTCCCTCGATGGACAGGCGGTCGTCGCCAAGTCGGCCTTCGCGGTGAATGAAGTCAGCGACACGCCAGCCATCGGGGATCCCGCCCCAGCCAGCGTCTCGGCGACAGCGGCCGACGTCGATGACCTTTCACACATAACCACGGCCAGCAATCCGGACGCGGAGCTCTATGCCATCTCGATTCATGACGCTGTCAAGGCCGGGAAGCCCCTTGTAGTGAGCTTCTCCACGCCGCGCTACTGCAGTACCGGCACCTGCGGTCCGCAGGTGGAGCAGCTTGCTGACCTGCGGCAGCGGAGCGGCGACAGGGCCAACATAATCCACGTCGAGGTATTCAGGGACCCCCACCTCTTCGAGGAGGGGCAACGTCCCGGCAAGGACGACGCGGTGGACGCTGTCGTTGAATGGGGCCTGCCCACTGAGCCTTGGACCTTCGTTGTGGATGCCGGCGGTATTGTCCGCGCCAAGTTCGAGGGGTTCACATCCGTCGACGTCATCGAAGATGCTCTGCTGGCGGTGCTGAATTAACCCCCGTCGCGCCAGAGACGCCGGGCCTTGTTGAAACTGCCACACCCCACGGCGATTCTCTGCCTCGCCTGCGCGATCAGCATCGTTGGCCTTTGCGCGGCGGCCTGCGGTGTGGAACCGGGCGTGGTGCGGGGTGTCATCGTCGAGGTTGCTGATCGCAACCTGGCGGAGATCGAGACTCTCACCATCCGGGACGACGACGACCGGGTGTGGAAGTTCACGACCGAGGCGGCGCTGGAGAAGAACGGGACGCACCTGCGGCTTCACCAGGTCCTGGGGCAGACCATAGAGGTACGCTACGAGGAGCGAGAGGGCCGGCTGGTCGCAACCGAATTGCGGGACTGACACCTCGATATCCCAAGATCATGTGAACCGAAAGACACGAACCGCCACCAGGGCCGTGGCGGCGGCCCAGGCACCCAGAGCACCGAGCTGCGGCCAGGTCTCCCACAAGGGGGCGCTGTTTATGGCCACCTCACGCAGGGCATCCAGCATGGGAGTGAGTGGCAGCACGAGGGCGGCGTAGGGCAGCAGCCACGGGAGAGAAGCGGTGGAGAAGAACGTGCCGGCCAGGAACATCATCGGCAAGGCCACAGCGTTGCCCATGCCGGAGGCGGCCGCCGGACTGCGGGCCCATGCCGACAGAATGAAGCCGATGTTCAGGAACACCACCGTGCCCAGCAGCACGATCAGCAGCACCCAACCAAGGTTGCCGTGGATGCTGCCACCGAATACGAACACCCCAACGGCCAGGATGATCAGGGCCTGGACCATTGCAAGCAGCAGGTGGGCAATGACCTCGCCGGCGAAGAACTTCCAGACCGGGAGGGGAGTGGCCATCAGCCGCTTCAGGACAGACTGGTTGCGGTAGGTGCTGATGCGGACGGCGATGGAGATTATCGAGTTGGTCATGATGCCCAGCCCCAGCAGGCCCAACAGCACGGTGTCGAAGTAATCCACCTCGGGGGTCTCGATGGGCTCCGACTCCACCAGATGTTCCGGCAGTACGGGCTGGCCGGCTGAACGCATCTGAATGACCAGACTGTGCACTGCACCCTCCACGAGCTGGTTGCGCTCGGGGTTTCGGGTGGCATAGACAAGGACGACCGGCTCGGGGGCGCCGACATTATTTTCCGCGGCTGGGTCATCCAGGCCGTGAGGTATCAGCAACAGGTAGCCCAAGTCGCCGTCGACCAGTCTCCGGCGAGCGTCTTCAACAGAGCCTGGGACATCGAGGTCCAGTTCCTCGGGATCCAGGAAGGCTACACCGTTCAGCCTCTCAAGCAGGAGTTCCGCCCTGGGACCACCGGAGTAATCAGCCACCGCCAGGGCGGCTGGGGTAACGCCGCGAAAGTCGAACAGGCCGAAGACAACGACAAGCAACAGTGGGAATATCAGGGCCCAGAACAGTCCCTGGCGGTTCCGGGCCATCATCTTCAGGTTGGCGAGGGTGATTGCCAGCAAGTGCGAGATCTCTCCTTCGGGGGTCCTGACGGACCGGGGTCTCGACGGAGCAAGAAAACCGCCCCGCCGTTTCAACCTTTGGGGGAATCGAATGGGCCCATTGTTACTGCAGTAACAGCGGGCCTATGCACTGGATTCCCGTTCCCTGCTTTTGCCCGGTGGCAAGATTCAGTCGACGACTCACAGTTCAACGGGTTCAGTAGTTGCGGACTAATTCCGAGTCAGTTCGATGAAGACGTCTTCCAGGGTTACAGGCGTGATTTCCAGTTGCTCGAGCACGATGCCGCCGCGTCCTACCTCGTCGAGCAGGTCCTGCAGGTCGGCGGGGTCATTGCGGAGCCGCAACAGGCAGGTATTCTCATTGACGATGGGGGCAGATTCGACGCGGTGGCCCAGCGCCGCCAGTTGCGCTTCGGTCAGCGGTGCGGCGGTCACGAGTTTGACGGCGTAGGATGCCTCGATGCGGCTGATGAGCTCATGGGGCGCACCCGAAGCCAGCAGCCGTCCGTGGTTGATAATGGCCAGCCGATCGCAGTTGTCCTCGGCCTCCTCCATGTAGTGGGTGGTAACGATGACCGTGGCGCCGCCCTCGCGCACCTGCTGCACCAGATCCCACAAATCGCGGCGAGAGACTGGATCGAGTCCGGTGGTCGGCTCGTCGAGGATGACCAGATCAGGGTCGTTGACCAGGCTTGCGGCCAGGGCGAAACGTTGCTGTTCGCCTCCGGACAGCTGCCGGACCCGGCGGGCCGCCTTGTCCCCCAAACCCACCCTCTCCAGCAATTCAGCGGGAGACAGGCGCCGGGGATAAAAGCTGCCAAGCAGGGAGAGAATCTCGCCAAGGGCCAAGTACTCGTAGTAGGAGGAGGACTGCAGCTGAACGCCGGTGCGGGCCTTGATATCGCGGGAGTGGGTGGCGGCGTCCATCCCCAACACGCTGACCTTTCCAGAGTCAGCCTTCTGCAGACCCTCGACTATCTCCAGCGTGGTGGTCTTTCCCGCGCCGTTGGGTCCCAAGAGTCCGAAGATCTCGCCCTGCTCCACGGAAAAGGAAAGGTGGTCGACGGCGAATACATCGTCATAGGCCTTGACCAGATCTTCAACCCAAACGGCTCGGGACATAGCAGCTAGGAATCTTACCACAGTGATCCGATTTGCTTGGCCGGCCACCTTTCCCCCAGGGCAATCGCGTCTTATTTCTCAGCACACAAAATTGGGCTGAATGGCGGTGGAGATGGGAGTGGCAGTGCCTCCTTCGGTTCCGGGTGCGAGGGTAGACGGGGGTTTGGATTCCCGCTTTCGCGGGAATGACGACTTATAGGGCCTCCGGCGTTTAAGACGCGATTGCCCTGTAGTCACCCCCCTATTTTCCCTGACATTTCTCCTGTGAGCGTGGCCTCGGGAGGACTTTTGGACAGGGCAATTGCGCCTTATTTCTCAGCACACAAAATTGGTCTGAATGGCGGTGGATATGGGAGTGGCAGTGCCTCCTTCGGTTCCGGGTGCGAGGGTAGACGGGGGTTTGGATTCCCGCTTTCGCGGGAATGACGACTTATAGGCCTCCGGCGTTTAAGACGCGATTGCCCTGTAGTCACCCCCCTATTTTCCCTGACATTCCCTGACATTTCTCCTGTGAGCGTGGCCTCGGGAGGACTTTTGGACAGGGCAATCGCGCCTTATTTCTCAGCACACAAAATTGGGCTGAATGGCGGTGGAGATGGGAGTAGCAGTGCCTCCTTCGGTTCCCGGTGCGAGGGTAGACGGGGGTTTGGATTCCCGCCTGCGCGGAAATGACGACTCATAGGGCCTCCAGCGTTTAAGACGCGATTGCCCTGCGTCCCTGTGGGTTTCCCTTGACTGGAGGCACGCTGTTCTATCAGCCTGAATAAATTCGTTATATCCGATCATTTCCGAGCATTTCCGCCGATTGCGGACGTGGCAGGCGTCGTTTTCAACGCCGAGGCCGCCATGTCCTTCTGATGGAACATGGCACGCTGCTGTATGCCACTACGGGTTGTCTCCCGGCGACGGGGCCTGCCGTTCAAGGCCCGTGATCCCGGGTGGTCAGCGTGAAAAATTCTGATTTTCCGCTCAAATCCGATCATTTCCGTTCATTTTGGCAATTTATGGCAGGCCGACTCTGGTTGTAGTGAATGCTGTTTATAGAATGTTTGTACTATTACATAGAAACGAGGATAGCGGAGCGGATGTGGGGGTGTCAAGGGAATGATGTCAGCACATCGGCAGGATTGTGGGGTTTCATGTTCAGGTGCCCTGGCGGGGGAGGTTGGCATGTGGCGTCGCGAGGTTTCCCGAGGTGCCAAGGATGACGGCGGCAGCTCAGAATTACTGCGATGGCCCAACAAAACGGTGGTTGGGGAGGAGCAGCGCTTGCCCCGGCAGAGCTATAGTATCTGTTGAGATATCCCCGCAGGGGGCAGTATGACGACCAGCGGACGCAAATTCAGTGGGGTTTCAAGCGAGGCGGTGGCGGCCGCCACGGGCAGGAACTGGGATGACTGGGTGGACTTTCTCGACCAGCAGGAAGCCGGTGGCATGAGCCACAAGGAAATCGTCGCCCTCATCGCCGGACCGGGAGGGCTGTCCAATGGATGGTGGCAACAGTCGGTGGCGGTGGGTTACGAGCAGGCGCGGGGCCTGCGGGTCGTGGGGCAGACATCGACCGCGGATTTCCAGATCGGGGTTCAGAGGACGCTGCCGGTGAGTGCCGACGAGGCGTGGGGCCTGCTGGGAGACGAGCGGGGTAGAACGGCGTAGCTGGGAAAGACCGAACCGCTGGAATTCCGGAAAGGCGAGGCTTATCGGACGTCGGAAGGATACGAAGGGGAAATACGATCCTGTGTACCTGGAGAGAGAATCCGGTTAACCTGGAGCCATCCCAACCTGGCCCAGCCATCGACGTTGCAGGTGTACCTGGCGCCGTCGGGAGAGAAGACGTCCGTACGGTTCCACCAAGAACGGCTGTCCAGCCTGGAGGAGCGGGAGCTGATGCGGGCGCATTGGCGCGGAGTGCTGGAGGAACTGGCGAGGCTGGTTTGAGCGCTGATACGCGCCGGTTGACACCCGTTGGGTGATGGGGCATTATGCCACTAGGCAATGGTCGACATTGCCTGTTTACAAATGAATAGCCCGCGTTGAGAGTGCCCCCTCGAGGGGGTTGAACGAGGAAGCTGGTCAAAGTCCAGCGCTGTCCCGCAACGGTAGGTCCCGGTCTGGCAACAGACCTTGGGGCGAGTCCGGTCCACGGCTCTTAGCGATGTTTCGGCCTTCGAGGAAGGGCGCCGGCATTGTTGGTACCGTCTGCGCTCTGCTCCATTTGGGGGCAGGGCTTTTTTATTTGGCTTGGGCCAATCCGCTGCCGCGCAGGAGCAGCGTGAGGGTTATGGTCGGATCCGGGATTCGGGGATCATTTCGATCCTTTTTCGATCATGGAGCGGTCATGGAGGCGACACTACCAATCATCCGCGAGCTGACCGCAGTGGGGGAATCGCTGATGTGGATTGTCGGACCGGGCGAGATGGTGAGCGAGAATTACTCGCGGGGAATCCGGGAACCCCGGGTGCACGGAAGGTACATCACAATCAGGGCCAACAATTGGCTGTTTCACCTGGAGCCGGAACTGGTGGGCGGGATTGAGTTCGTAGAGACCCACGGCGACCTGACGTCCCACTACGTTCGGTTCCACGACCACGAGGGGGAGACGCTACTGCGCGCCTACGTGCCAAGGCCACGGCAGGACGAGACCAAGGGGGAGCCGAGCGGGGGAAACCCGCCATTCGAGGAAATTCGCGACCGACACCTGGACCTGGCGGGCGTGGAGTCGGTGAGGCGAGAGGTGCGGTCTTCGGCGATGCAGTGAGGCTTCCCTTGCGCCGAGGAGTCATATCGAAAGGAACAGTCCCGAGGGCGGCTAACTCTTCAAGGGCAAGGGACGATCGACTGGAACGACAGATGGGATGAGGGGATCGCGGGGGATTTCCCTCATCTCACCCTTTAACTCCTGGCAGGGCGGGTCGCCGAGTTTCCTCCTCTCGGCGGCCCTCCTTCCGTTTCAGTAACATGCCTGTGCGGGGTAGGGAAAGAGCTGTTCTCGCTGTGCTGTCCGGCTTCGATTTTCATTGACAATACTGTCATCGCGGTGATACGTTTTTCGTCGCCGTTACTGCGATTCACACCATAGTCTGCCGGTATCCGTAATCGTCAGAGGCACTCCACCAAGTGAGCATGGACCCTCTATTGACTTGTCCACAGTTTCCGCCAAATTGGCAGTGTTCCACTTCGTCACCCTTCGGCCTGGCCCCCAAGCCCGGCTATGAAATGCCTTATTGCGAGGGCCCTGCATGGCAGTAGCCGTGAGCGACCGGTTCAGGGCGGACAGCGTGGGAGCCGAGGGCTGGTTCCGGGGGCTGGCCTGGGCCAGCGTCATCTCAGTGTTTGCCATGGTGGTCCTTGGAGGAGTGGTACGGGTTACCGAGTCGGGCCTGGGCTGCGGCGATGACTGGCCACTTTGCTCTGGGCGGTGGCTGCCTGCGCTGGAATCGAAGGCCATTATTGAGTATTCTCACCGGGTGGCGGCATCGTTCCTGGTGGGGCCGCTGATAGCTGCCACGTTCATCGGGGCGTGGCTGCGCTATCGCAGGGTGGCGTGGATTGTCTGGCCTGCGACGGCAGCCGTCGCACTGGTCATCGTGCAGGCGCTATTGGGCGCGGCGGCAGTGGTCACGGAGCTGTCGGCCCATACAGTAATGACCCACCTCGCCGTGGCCGAGCTGACGCTGGCCTGCTGTGTGCTGGTGCTGGTCATGGCGTACCGAGGAGGCAGGCAGGCAGGGCCGCAGCCTTGGGCCGTGGGCAAGGCGCGGCTGTTTCCGCCGCTGTCGCTTGTGGCCGCGGGGGCACTGTTCGTGCTGCTGCTCTCCGGCTCCTACCTAACCAACACGGCGTCGGCCACCTGGGCATGCCCGACTTGGCCACTGTGCACCAACGACTGGGGCGGGTTTTTCCCGGGGGGAAAGCTGGCGATGATACACATGGCGCACCGGTGGGTGGCCCTGATAGCCGGACTGGTGGTAATGTATGCGCTGCACCTAGGAATCCGAAACTTTTCGACGGGCTCAGGGGATAGGCAGCCGCCGCTGATCCGGCTACTGTGTATATCGGCTCTGGCGCTGTTCGCAGCGCAGGCGCTGGCCGGGGCGGGAGTGATCTGGTCCGGATTCGGGCGCGACGTGGAACTCAGGGCGCTGCACCTGGCCCTGGCTTCGGGCATGTGGGCCATCGTGGCCGCGCTGGCGGTGCTCAGCTACTCGAAGGACCCGGGCCAACCCCGGGCCTCAGGACGAAATGGCTGACCGAGCAGGACATATAGATACGCTGGACGTGGAACCGGTGGCGACTGACGTCGCCTCCGCATCCACGTCAGAGCGCCGGGAGCGATCCGGGCTGGTGGGTCTTCTGTCAGATTACCTGACGCTGACCAAGCCCCCGATCATCAGCCTCTTGCTGGTGACCGCGATCGGAGGCATGTTCCTGGCATCGCGGCACATGGGCGGATCGGGCATACCCGACCTGCTGACCATGCTGCTGGTGTGCGTGGGTGGCTCGCTGGGAGCTGGCGGGGCCAACGCCATCAACCATTACATGGACCAGGACATCGACTCGCTGATGTCGCGGACGGCGAAACGGCCGGTCCCGGGGCACCGAGTACGTCCGCTGGCAGCGCTGGCCTTCGGCATCGGGCTCAACGTGGCGGCGTTCGCGGTGCTGGCGTACTGGGTGAACCTGCTGGCCGCGGGGCTGACGCTGGCGGCGACGCTGTTCTACGTGCTCGTATACACCGGTTGGCTAAAGCGCAGCACACCGCACAATATAGTGATCGGCGGGGCCGCCGGGAGCATTCCGCCGGTGGTGGGCTGGGTCGCCGTTGCCGGCACCTTCGACCTGCCAGCGCTGTACCTGTTCACCATCATCTTCTTCTGGACTCCTCCACACTTCTGGGCGCTGTCGCTGCTGATCCAAGGGGACTACGAGCGCGCCGGCATACCCATGCTTCCGGTGGTGGCAGGGACGGAAAAGACGGTGGGGAGCATCTTCGTGTATTCGCTGGTCCTGGTGGCGCTGACCCTAGTATTCGCGGCCACCGGGGCCGTGGGCCTGCTATACCTGGGCGCAGCGGCGTTCCTGGGCACTGCCTTCGTATGGGCAGCGTGGCGGCTGCGACAGGACATCAGCAGGCGGAAGGCCCGCAACCTGTACTTGTACTCGCTGCTGTACCTGGCGCTGCTGTTCGGCGCTATGATGGCGGACGGCGTGTACCGCTGGTGGGTGTGAGGCCGGAAGGTTCAAAGCGGCCTAAATCTCGGCCAGAGATTCAATTGACACTCCAAGCGGCCTATGATAATGTTTCGCGCGGTACGTGAAAAAAAGCACACACTCCAGGCGGCGAATGCACTGGGGGAGTCCAAAATGGGGTTGTTGCCCTGTAAGCGGGCAGGTTCCCCGACGGAACCCTAGACCCACGAGTCCTGAAATGTCCTCTGGCGACCACGAACGTTTCGCCCCGCGCTGGTACAGGCCACGACGGCTCGCCGTTTTTGGCGTAATTGCGGTTCTTTTCCTACTGACGGCGGCCTGCAGCCAGGGCATCCAATCCACATGGGATCCCATTGGTCCGGTGGCGCAAAAGCAGCTTCAGCTGTTTGAAGTGCTTGTCTGGACCATGGTAATCGTCTTTGTGCTGGTTGAGGGCGCCCTCATCTACATCGTCATCCGCTACCGGCGCCGCCCTGGGCAGCCACGCCCCCCGCAGATTCACGGGCACACTGCGCTGGAAGTCACGTGGACGATCGTTCCCACGGTGCTGATCCTGGGGCTGGGCATCTGGTCGGTGTTCACCCTGTTCGAGTTGGACCAGCCTCCCACGGACCAAGGGGAGATCCTGGAGGTCACGGTCACCGGCCACCAGTGGTACTTCGAGTTTGAATACGCGGACGCGGACGGTAACGGCAAGCTGATCAGCACGGCCAATGATCTGCGCATACCCGTGGACCGTCCCATCTCACTGATTCTCGAAAGCGACGACGTGCTCCACAGCTTCTGGGTGCCCAAGCTGGGCGGCAAAGTGGACGTGGTCCCCACGCGCCAGAACACCATGTGGCTGATGGCGGACTCCGACCTGATTGAGCAACAGCTCCCCGCCACCTATTACGGCCAGTGCGCCGAGTTGTGCGGAATAGCCCACGCCCAGATGAGGTTCCGCGTCACGGTAATGTCCGAGGAGGACTACCACGGCTGGGTGCGGGAATACAGCCCGCCGCCCGCTCTGACCCCGCGCGCTCA